ATCCAAAAAGACACGAACAAATAAGAACCTCTGGAAAAGAGAGAAAATGTTTTGCGTGTCTCTTAGGAGCTCGTTCTATCCTCTTATAACATGCTTCCATGAATTAATATTATTTGGACTTTTTTAAAAAAAGAGGAGAACTGAGATTTATTCATTTACAAAAATTAGCTTCTTAGTTTCCTACCGCAGCATTAAAAGGGGGGGGGGGGCGTTTTTGAACTGGTTGTTAAACTGGTTATGAAACAGCGATACCTCTCTATGTGCTTCTAAAGCTAACAAGATCAGACACAAGATTGAATGTTTTTACATTACCGCTTTTAATGCATGTGACCCCTGCCACGTCTTTGGTATCAGACAATAAGATGAAAAAAAACCTACTTTTCTATTCTTGTTTTTTTTTACATTTTCATTGACAGCAAGTTGTCATGATGAGTGATCTATTTGACTATTAAAAGAAAGCAGGTTGAGAATATTGTGTCATTAAAGACATACCTAACAATTAGAGACTAGACCGATATTATATCTGTGTGGTCCGATATTGACGTAATTTTCATACCGGATATCGGACTAACGGCGCCGATTCACGTCACTGATCAAGAAAGATGGTTAGGCACTTAAAACATGTCAGCTCGCTCAGTCTCACTTTGAAGACGCTCAGACTGAACTGTAAGAAGTGTCCACAAATCATCTCCATCAAGACGCTCAGACGAGATTGGAACAGCTCCTTCTATGATCAAAAGTACAACTCTTACACTTCAGTTTGAAAGATTTAATTTGAAAAACCTGACAGTTGTTGCTGCTTCCTGTTTGTATATTTCTTCCAGCACAATGCAATACAATGCAGTTTACTACAGCACTTTGTGTAGCATTACATATAATACCAACAAGAACAGAAACACTATTAGTCATGATAATAAAACATTCAGAATCAGTATCGTTATCTGTACATATGTATCAGATCGGAACTGAACTGAAAACAGTGGATGCGTGCATCCCGACCACCAACAAGACAAGATCAGCAAAGAGATAAGACGCACAAGGATCAACATTAAAAGTTCCTCTAAGGAGGGCCAAATTCTCCAAAACACTAGATTATAATCTATACATTTCAAGATTTAAACACTCGCTTTCTGTTCAACATGTCCTTAAAAAGGAAGAAAAGATAGGACAATTTTCATTGCTTATAGATGCCGTCCAGCAAAACTCCCCTATTGGCAGGACCACATCACCATCAACAAATACGAGTTTCTTCTCCTAAACAAATAAGGTTCAAGTTTGGTAAACTTAAGCCTTACAAGCAAGTAGGTTGATGTCAGGTAGAATCTTGTAAATAACACAGTTAAGGTAATGAAACGTTCATCAGCGTTTAAGTAGCGTTTAAGTCTTTGGTCATGGTGAGAGAATAACTGTGGTGATTTAAAGAAAGAAACAAAAATGTTGTCTGTCAGGAGAAAACAGCAAATGAACAGTTGTCTCCTGTGGCAACAACCTACTTAGTTTTTTGTTTAGACTTTGGAGATCTCCCAACAGAGTCACTGAAAAATATATATACAACTGTTTCCAAAGGCTGTTTGGAGCTTGTTATGCTGTAAAACTAACTGTGATGTGCACAATTTGAAGAGTGCAAGAAGCAAGAACCATCAAAATGTTGTTTTAAGTGTGTGCATGTTTTTTTCTTAATGAAGGAGAACGAGTAAATGCATAAAAAAGGAGACGAGACAAAAAAAAAATCTATCTTGGAAGAAGAGAGTGTGGGGAAAGAGAAGAGAAAGGTGAAACAACAGTTCTGGAGTTGGAGAAGGAATAAGAATGGAGGTGGTGCACGAGGAAAAGAAACAGAAACTAAGAGGATGTGCCTATAGAGGAGGGATGCCGATGAGAATAAAGAAAGAAAGTGTTAAAACATGTATGGAGAATTGGGGAAAAACTCTGACTGAGGAGACATCAGACACAGGAAATGATGATTTGATTGAGTGTAATTATTGTTTTAATAGTGACTCGAGACAATATCTTGAATGAGAGTGGATTGCAGCAGATTAATGTGGAATCTTTCAATCACTTAATTGCTTGTGGTCAGAATTAGAGTTGAAAGCTATAAATTAACGTTATAAAGGAAAAGTGTTTCTTGTTTGCAGACGCAGACCACATTACTGTTCCCCCCAGTAAACTCTATTAGCATTCATTCCTTCTGAGTTATCATCACATTCGCTGCAACATCTCTGCTCGCATCTTCAAAACAAGAGATTAAAAAAAAGCCAAATTGCCAAAGTGGGAGCACATGCTGCATGTTTACTGCAAATAAAGCACATGTATCATTACAACAATTCCCTCCTTACTAATTATACTTCCCTACATTTCTGTGCTATTTTATATCATATAGTAAATGTTCTGCATTTTCAAGAAACAGCAGGAAAAAAAACACACATGATATTTTCCCATAGAAAAACGTGTCCCTGTCAAAGGGATATACTACACTAAAGGTCAGACTACAGGACAGTTT